ACCATTATCCGACTATCACCGTCATAGTGCCGTGGTGATCGTGCCTCATACCGTACTTAGCACCGATGTCCAGAATCCCTGAATTTTTGCGAACATCGTTACAATTTAGGCTCTATTTGGGAGTGAGTTCGTGGCTTTACGCCATCGACTAAAGATAGTTTGTTGCCATTAAAGTCTATTTTCAATCCGGATAGATTTAAATCTATTTTTACAATTCAAAAAGTGATCACCTGATCCATGTGTTTTCTGCACGCGAACAACTAAATATTGGTGCAAAATAAATATAGTTCAACCCAGATTCATAACCCCAGTCTACCTGCACGCTGCTGTGCGATGCTGTCATAACTGATAATTACAAGCCATCAAATGTTCGCATGCATGAGCACACTCGAACCCGCAAGCAAAATCAAGTGTCTACCGGCAAATAAAAATCTGGAAAAAAAACGTTATAACGTTCAGACTGGAAGCTAACTGACGATGGCAAATCTTAGAGGCGCTTGAGCACAGTTGGATGTCGGCTGATGATAGTATCTTGAGACATGGCATTATCATGAGAAAATGATTGGCCAAGTCGTTGGCGTGACATATAAACAGAGAGAAAATTTTGAGCCTAGTTTCCAAACGCAATGGCAGTTAAAGCCCTTGTCAGTTGTCCTTATTTTGCATTCTTTGATGTGTTTTAAATCGGCAAATTTGACTATGATTCCCCTATTGTAGTGGTACTCTGTATTCGTCATTGATCTACAATACATGGACCTGAGTCGACACAAAATTGATAACTAGTAGGCCAACAGATGAAGTTGGCTGCACTCAATTCGTGAGATTAGAGGTGATGATTATCTGAAGGTGCTTGGAAACCCACCGTACTCCACATCATCTAAATGTTGGCACCTTACGACATGTGTGGTTCCGCATTTCGTATATGCGACTCAATTTTTCCCTCAGAATTGAGCGCTTTTTGAGCTTTGGCATCAAGCATGTCGCGGCTCAGAAACAGCCACATATTGTATTCTAGTATCGGTATCGACAGCATGATAACGGATTAACAAGTTTACTCCAATACATTGCCTAAAAGTCACACGGTTCAGGAAACACCACTACTATATCCACATCACCTTCATCGTATCAACGTGACAATGAATTAATATCAAAAACAGTACATAATATATATGCGATCCAGCGCAAGGAAACAAAAGAAGCAGAAAGCGGATGATACATCAGTCCTGTATTCATAAACATAAATAACTACATGTTGGACGGCACGAAACATGCAAGGCATATTACGTGATGTCGAGTTTCGCAGCCATCGTCATGGAATGCGAATGAGTTGAAATAACATGTTTTGTGACTTCGACACAAAAATACCGTATCGATGATTACCGTCAATAGAAACCATAATAAACAATCCCACCCTTTAGAAGAAAGTAATCAGACGCATAGAATTATGCCAGTAGAGCAAAACATTCAACAATGTTATCTCGCATGTGCAATACTGACATTATAGATGAGTCCTGATTCACAAATACGTAGCTAGAACACCTTGAATGGAGAGTGCGGGTTGGCTATTCCTTGTCGAAGTGATGATGTCTGTGATTATAATTCACGTTGGAAAAATAAACGGATGGCTAATAAAGATGTCACATATGTCTGTGGGCCCTATCTGCGAATCACTGTCTCCCTACACCATATGTGCCTTTTAACCGATAAATCATACTATATTATGCATCTAGATGGGAAAAGATCCGCAATAAGGCTATGGTGCTGAATGGCAGCCAGTTTTATCCGACTAGTAGGATCATTATTCATACTTATGGAATATGACAGGCCGAAACCACGCTCGAGGTCCATGTCACTCGATGTCCTTATCATTTCATCTTTAATTCGGTGTTTGACAACAATAGTATCTAGAGCCTCATCCGCAGCAGCCGTCATCTTGAGCTCAGGGAACCCCTGGGAAACATATGTTGCGAACAAATAGGTCACTGCCGATAACCATTGAGCATGCATTCACAAACGCTGGTAGTGGTGGTTGGTGTCAGGTGTTGCTAGTGTGATAACACCCTTGTGGTAAGTACGCGTCAATTAACTATATCTCAACGTACCCCCCTCATCATAGGTGACTCGTTGGCTATTTATTGAACAATACTTGATTAACATTTGGTCAATTAGCGCATGTGCGTAATCAGATCAGAACCCTAAACTGGGTTTATGACCGATCCACAAATAAACCCTAATAACCCGATCCATAAATAAACCCTAATAACCCTAAATCTTATATCTGACCACACCCTGTATAGGTTTCTGGATCTTGGGATATGCTGTATGGCAAGTAACAGACAGGGTGATAAAACTTAAAATTTTGTATGGCAAGTAACAGGGTGTTTAAACTTCAAATTCTAAGATGATAGATAAATCTGGCGTATCAAGAGCCATATCAAAGGTATACTATGACCACAAAGAAATGATGTAGCATAAAGATTAAACTTCGTGTTTAATGCATGGAAACATGTGCTCTTGAGCAATCCTCGGACGGAACGGGTAAATAAAATATTTGCGATGAAAAGTAACATAGATATTCGCAACCAGATACCAGCAGAGCAACAGTTGTGGACATATGTGAAAAGCTTTTTTCACTTCTGTGCAATCGCCAACAGCCCCAAAGGCACCAAGTTACCGGACACCGCCACCCCAGACAATACTACACAGCAGGTGATGTACATACAATGACACAATTGCAAAACTTCATACTGTCTGCAGCGGTAAAGGAACATCCACTCGTTTCCGCCACTTTCCGCGACGTTTTCAAGGATGATGACGCCGACCTATGTTGGGCCTTAATTCAGAGCGAACTTGCCAGCCTGCGCCAGGCTGATACTTATGACATTCTGCAACCGGATGAGATTTTCTACGGTGTGTATACGGTCTCCAGCAAATGGGTCTTCAAGGTGAAGAAAATCGACGGCCTTGCGTTGAATTACAAGTCACGTTTACGTGCACGAGGCTTCACACGGACAGAGGGCATCAACTATATGGGGAAGTATGACCCTGCGTGCAGCCATGACACATCATATCATTCCGCTGTTCCGGATGAATCCATCTATATGCGACCGCCATATACGACTCACGGAAAGTTTATGGTTCGAAACAGTCCGGACGCACTCGGCAAACTCTTTATCGCTGGCACCGACAGTCTCTCTTGCTCACATGCCTATTATGTGCGCCACATATATTTGTTTGCATAGATACGTAATGTACTTTTCCCTAGCCTTAAAGATGTCGACTGTACTTTTAAAAGGGAAGGAACCCTTTGAGAAAAAACAAAATATATGGGGTACGTTTCTTGATGTATTAGAAAGATGTAGCAAATTAAGTGAATGACTGAGCCGATTAAACCTAGTACTGGGTGGTTGGTTCAGTCATTTAGCTTACTTGTACTAGGCTGGTTAGTTCAGTTATTCGCCTAATTTACTCTAAAATCTTGTATTGGCTAAATTTTTTGATGGGAGCAAATCAGCTGGTACAAGACCAGCATTATTGCCCAGCGTAAAAGATTTATATAAATCCACTCAGAAATGGTAATATCAGCGGATAAAGTTCAAATAGGTTCACTCAGGAGAGGATCGTACGAATTGAGATCGAGGTACGAGGCAACACTTTCCAGTTTTGTAGTAAATTGGCTGAACAAATGTATTAGATCGTACTGGGTTGATTGGTTCAGTCATTCATCTAATTTGCTACAAAGAATTTAGCGCTAGCTGTTTCATCAGAAGAGGACGATGTGCTGTGTATACATGCAGAAGGATGGGCTATAGGGCAGCACCATAAGTTAATAGAGGGACATAATTGAATTCAGCACACAACAACTATATTCCAATGATACAGCTTTGGTCCATTTCAGATTGAATATGCTACTCAAATCGCTAACTATGTCTACAACAAAATTGTCTTCGAGTCACAAGCTTCATATGTTTCTTTAGGTTATGGGCCTAGATACTATGCTATCCAGCGCTCAACTCACCACCAAGGGTACTACGGTGTCCTGGACCACGTTGGTTACAATATCGATGGTTCTGATAACGATCTTTGGGAGCAGGTCATGGAACTAGCAATGTCTTCCCAATATATCGTCGACCTAACCTCGACACTGAACTTTATTCAAAATTGGCCAAAGAGGAGGCAAACCCTAACCAAACTGATGCCGACATCTTGAATACCCCCAGAGTAGAACATAGTGATTTTAAAAACTATATGATAGCAATTGAACCATTTATTACGCAAGTACGTGCTATTGGCACATACCAAAAAAGCCAAAGCACTTCAAATTTTGTCCATAGACTCTGCCCTTTAACTCGCACTGGACAAGATGATCAAGCGAGAACACCTCTTAAATTTAATTATCTTCCTTAAGTCCAAATTTCAACATTAATCGAAGATTATCCAAGACATCGTCGACGCTGCCTACATAGCTGCTATGAAACGAGGGCCGACCGAAGCACTATGTCAATGGGCAACCCGTTGTGAGACCGTCATTGAAACAGCCACTACCCAAGGTACCACTTTCAGTTATACTACATATCACAACCGATTCATGTCGGGGCTTGGACAGGCTGATCATGATCAGCTGCACATCATCTATCGCATGCATCTTAAAGATCACTCACTCATCAATGTTGATGATCTATGCACATACCTGGAGATTTGGCACTGAATATTTTAATCACCTGCTCCACCAGATACGGTGAATGTCGCCACTGCAACCCTCCACTATCGCTGATTTGGTTCGCATGATTACTGACCTAAAGGCGCAACACACACAATCTACTTGTCCACCTCGTACCCTCAAGCGGTACATTTGCTGGAGCTCTGTGCACACATACTCTACCAATCCCAAAGGATGTGGCCGATGCGACTAGGCAGTCCACACCACTCGCGCATATAGTCAGTCCCCATCTCATCAGTAAATTGTACTATTTGTTCTCGACGGACATGTCGCTGATGTCTGCAGTCAAAGAACTAAAAAAATAATTACCTTTACACTAAGATCCCTATAGTTTTTACTATTGCAGCTCGTATTACTATTCAAGCCACTGTACTCAACACCGCCAACACACAAAGGCACTAATTGTTAATCGATGGTGGTGCTACCACTTATATGGACGTTTTAACACGTCAGATTATATCATCAATTGAAACTAGTAAATTTCCTTTGTAACTCGCAGATAATCGAATTACGTATATCTTGATCTTACTTACTTGGACCCTGATCTCATACAAGCAATAGTGGCCCGAAATAACCTACAGCGCTCTGGTTTCGCTCTTACTTTCCCTAAGAAAAAGAGCCCATCCACTAGAAAGACCACAATATCCGTAAACTCAAGAGAATTCATGGTGGTTACTATGTCAACTACACTAGTCTAAAGATACTACTGGACACACTCCAAGTTAACCTCACCACAGTACCTATGTCACCACCTCTCGCTGTTCCTGAGCCCATCGTCATGACTTATGATGCCTATCATCGTGCGACCGGGCATATACAGCGCTCCACCACACTCAATTTAGTGTGGAAGAACAACATCACTTTAATCCATCCGCCTCCACTATCTGTGGAGACGAAAGCATGGCAATCTGACCCGGTCTTCTTTTGAGAGAGATACGAGTTCCTTAATGTCCAGCCAACCGTTGACATATGTGATGCTCTTAGTAATACACATCGATCCCGCTTTGTGAGCCCTGAAGGCGGGGGCCTCTCCAAGGACTCGACTGAAGTTGATCTGACCAAAGAACTCCATGGTCCATAATTGGATCAATCGTCAAAGCTAACAATATGGCCGGCTCTCAAATTGTCATGGTGGTCCCGCTTCGGCCTTGCACTCTATGGTGAAATGCCTTTGACACATATACAGGGTCAACTTTTTATCCTCTAAAGCACTACCACAACTTTTCGCCGCCACGACACTATCAAGGTGGGTAAGCCTTCTTGGATCTTTACGGTTATGGCCGTCTTGGGCAAGATTTATACGCATCCTTACCTGGTCCTGATTTTCGCTCTGCCATCGATGTCGTCCGTCACCATCCCGAATTGTCCAAGCACTGTAAAGTGTGTATTGAGGCTAAACTCCGTGCCACCACTGTACCCCACACCCCTACGGACACCGTTTACGGTCCTGGAGAGTGCTTTCATATAGACATGCAGGGCCCGAAGCAACCCGATCGCCATGGTCATTATTATACACAATAGGTTTGATACTATCATACATTTCGGGATACACGATATGCTCACATTCAATTAGCACATGCATACCCACATCTGCCAACTCCTTACAGCTGTTTCATCGACATGGAACCCCGAATCTTTAGTGACCGACAATGAGTTTGAACTTCATAGCGCCTCCATGAGACTCTCGTGGCCGACAAATGCATGCAACTACTCGAGCCTCCTCCCATACTCTAGCGTAACGCCAAGATCAAGAGACCTCACGACACCTTTAATGTATATGTCCGCGTTCCTCTTAAAGATGCCGGCATGCACAACCCCTGCTTGGGAGATACACTTCTATGTGCTTGTGGCCTTCACAACCACTGCCTCTCTAAGAATGACAAACTACGACTCCTGTGGAGACCTTTTTGCAGTGATCTTGACTACCGCGACCATAAATAAGGCGACAGAGCACATGGCCACCATAAATATATATCTCAATGTGCCTCTGGTATTTTACTTGGACGTACCCCGACTCAACGCCAGACTGCTGAATTCAGACTATCGACACACAGGTTCAGAATAACACCAAAAACCTTTGCTTCGTTACAGAACGCAAAGTCTAATGGCCCTCCGATGGAAAGATCACAACTCTCTCCAATGCTCATAGTTCCTACAATTATCCTGTCGACTGGATGGAACTTAATTCCGATCCTGGGACCACTAGTATCCCATTTATTGGCCCCCGTCCGCCACCTATCGGTCTCTTCCATTCACTGCACTAGGATACTATCACACCCAAATTTTCACACCGCTCAACCCCCCCTCTTCTCAACTACATCAGAATGATATATCCCCTGGACCCCCCCCCCCCCACGCGGGGTTCCCCACCACCTCATCACTTCTACCCACTCTCATTCAGTCACATCCTTCCCGTTCACTTTCCATCACCATCGCGGCCGAACCTATGCATGTACCCATACCATTTACCTCCAATATATCGCCAACTATCGCCCATTTACTATCTACACCCGCTCAGTGCACACCACTTCTTCCTTCTCATCTTAACCCGAGCCAAACACTCCTCATATACCCTTTTCACCACCCCTTCCCACAGCATGAATACCCGCACCCATCTATCTCGCTCAATATCCAATGCATTTCTCCCCACATACACCCTACTCCAAAATATCATCCACTTCCGACAATTCCTTGTCCCACATTCCGTATACCCCCAGTGATGGCTATATCACATCAGCTATCCCCTTTGACGTGGACACCGGCACCAGGTTACCTTCAACAGCACCCCTGTCATCCGTCTCGACCACCTCGGATTCTATCAGCACTGCTGATCAGATCTCGCCCCACGCCTTGACCCCATCACACTCGTCCGTTCACCACGATAGCCATTCCCCATCTGTCTACCCCTCCTCATACCCTCACTTTCCCCTTTCCCCCCAACCAACTCCGTCTAGACTAATCCCACTCATTCGCCGCCATACTCCTATTTACTCATCAAAACATCCTTGTCCAAAGCCTCTTCGTCATCAGCCCCGCCGAGTGACTGCTACCTCCCACCTTCTCCTATGACCACTTGGGTTAGTTATCTTGCTAATCTCGATTCAGCTGATTCTTGTATCAGATTTATTCGATACACCCCTAGCGCCACGCCTTGTGTTCATGTCAACACGCCGACTACTGGTTCTGAGCCTAGTTCACTTGAATTGGAGATTCTATACGATTCCAGTGTCCCTAATTCTATTCCTATTGCCCAGCGTTCTTCTCGCTGGCAAGACTGGTCGGCCGCTATTGACAATGAGCGCAACAACCATGTACGTAAGCAACTCGCCGATATCATCCCCCTCGAAGAAGCTACCTTCGAAAGCCAAAGTGATTTGCTCTAAAACACGACGACCACGGACAACCTACACGTTTCAAAGATTGAATGGTAGCAAAAGGAGACGAACAAGCAGAAGGTGATAGTTATACACGTACTTATGCCCCTGCCGCCCACTGCATGTCTCTTTGGCTATTTATAGCCACTGCTGCATTTCAAAGGAAGCAAGTGCATCATTTTGACGTTACCTCTTTCATTTATATATAAGAAGTTATGTTCCTGTCTGTATGCCAACGCCGAAGGGTTCAGTAGCCCTCGGCCATTAGCCCCCCCAATACAATCCTCCGTCTCAAGTACGGCCTCTGTGGATTGAAGGAAGCTGAACGGTTATGGAACCATGACATAACGGATAAACTTCATCAACTAGACTTCCCAACAATCGGTCGCCGATGAAATTATTTGGATCTATCCAAACACGTGACATTATTATTTTTTTTTCGTTGACGAACTTCTTCCTGCAGTTAACCCCGGCATGTCCGACACGCCCAGGCTTATATCACAACTATCTGCAAGTTATATATGATGACTTACTGGGGCTTAGTCAGACATATCATGGGATTTCGGGTCATCCATACGCCCACTAGGGAAATCTCACTTCTTCAAGATGCCCACATTTGACACGTCCAAGACCTTCCACCAAAGCCCATTCGGACATCCAGCTCTCATCCTGGTTCATTCATCGGCCCTACATTTTAAGGCAAAACCATAAGCGGTTAGGTGCCTTGGGCTTTGCTGCGATATGACTCGTGTTGACATTGCCTGTATCCTAAATCAACTGCTGTTTTCAGCCAGGCGCCATTACAGTAACCCTACGACGCGCTTCAAGGCGTCCTCTTCTATTTTGCTGGTACCGACTAGTTTACTCTTACGTATCGTCCTGCCTGTCCGAACAGACCGTCGATTCCGCCTAGTTGTCACACAGCGCTTCCGACTGGGCCTCCTGCCCCATTACCCGTAAATCCCAAATAAGTACTCTTATCTGTTTTAACTTCACCCCGATTTACTGGCGTTCACATAAACAGGCCACCGTCTCCATCAGCGTCGGCGAAGCCGAGTACATCGCTAGATAGGAAACTACACGCTTCATCTCCAGGATTGAAAACGTTGTGCGTACACTAGGCGGCTACTCTCACACCCTCCCTACCAAACTCTGCATTGATAACCAGAACGCTATCAAATTTTACCCTAATACGGGAATGCCCGAAGGTCTTAAACACATTGACATCCGTAGACACTATATACGTGACTGTGTTCGGATAGACCTTCACTATATTCCTATCCACAACAACCCAGCATTTACTAACTAAGACCCTGCGTCGCCCTATATACACTCACTTATATACACTCACTTCCATAATATGTTGAAGAAGGATCAATCACAATAACACCGCCATATATTGTGTCCAACATATAGTTAGTCTTCAAGAGGAAATTTCGACTTAAAGTAGTTTTAGTTCTATCTATGCGAACCCAATCTCTTAACTTTTCCTACCTCCGGTTTTAGCCAGGTGAAGGTCTTAAGCATATTGACAGCCGTAGTCACTATATACGTGACAGTGTTCGGATAGGACCACTATATTCCTACCCACGATAACACAGCAGACATACTATCTAAGATCCTGTGTCGCCCCAAAAATACTTACGTCCGTGGTATGCTGAAGAAGAATCAACCATAACAATGCTTTCTATTGTGTCCAACCTAGAGTTAGTCTTCAAGAGGGTTTTGTTCCTCCACCTCCTGGTTTCAGCCAGCATGACACCATATAAACCATTTCAGACTTACGATGATACTTCACCAAACGTGCTTAAATATAATAAGCTATCGTTTTCGAGTAATAAGCTTCATATGTCTCTTACGCGCACGAAACCTCTATTGTTTCTTTCGGGGGGTTTTCTACTATTTTTCTACTATGTTCTATAAAAAAAATAGAGATAGTATTATTTATTTCATTTTAAATATCTTTTTTATGTCTACATGCTCATCAGGCTTCATATTTGTTGGAGATGTTCTTGAGAAATTAAAGGGGAGTTGAGATTGTCGAAATGCCGCGAGAAGCTCGGGGCGAGGGATGCAACGATGAAAGACATACAATAGTTTGTGTAATGCGCGTATTTGGATTGAATTAGTGTACATTTCGGGAGGAAATCACTAACAGTGGTAAAACCCTCGTTTATCATCACAGTTCACTATTCAAGTCGTAGACTCTGACTGATTTATCTTATGTCTACGCAGATAGTATTCATATCAAACTGTCTCTGACTTGCCTTCACCATACTTTATACAGATCAGTGAGCAATTCTCTTTCAACATATTACTATTGTTCAGCATCTCAATCTAGACAACATGATGGCTCATCTCATTTGACTGGAAGCCATCAAATATGCCTCAATGCATTATCCAATCCTCATGTTGTCTTATCACATTGTTTCTCAATACGAGAACTCCCTTTGAAATAACATCTCTAATCCAATATTTATGCTCTACTTTAAAGTATATGCCGTTGTGCATTTGTAGCATATAGGGATCAGATTATCGAAAGCCAATCCATAATCCAAAATCCCAGAATAATCGAAAATTGAGTTTTAAAATTAGGATTGGAATATTTCTGATATTAGAAATATCAGAAATATTAGCGGTAGAACCGGTAATATATACCGGAACTCCGCGTGTGAGAGAAACACTCAAGTAAATCCTGACTAGTGAAAACACAAATAAAGACTCAGTTCGGTTCTCTCAGAGGAGAGACTTTTCCTAGCTGAGATAACCGTACTTGAGAAGATCTATTGTATCCTCTGACTCGTACCCTTCAGCTACTCTCCATACTCTACACATTGCATATATATATATATAATTGCACTCGTGATATGGTCACATCCACTACATCGATTCATTCTACAATATAGATCACATGCAATATTCTAGGTTACAAACACCGCATGTTCCTACAATTATTCTGATCAAGGTACATGCAATGTAAATCAAGTACATCTTCTTACCTATCAAGGGTTTGCCATGATTACAGGTATGTGTCCTCAACTTAATTTATGTATACTCAGGTCATAATTACATATGTACTCTTTTAACTTATGAAGGAAAGTAAATATATGTAAAATACGTCGATCCTCGGTC